TACAAGCCTCAATTTGCTTCACATATTCAGCGAGGGTGGTTTACAGGTTTCTTCTTTGGCTGCTTCCTATTCTCTACCATGTGTCAGAACTTAAAATAGAACACTAGTCTCTTAATATGCACCTCAGTATTTATATACCTTGCTTCTATCTGATAACAACTGGTAATTTTTTGCAGAAACATGTTATTTCCCTTGATGGCCCCGTAGTCACTGCGGTAGGATGCAAGGATCAACTTGCTGTGGTAACTCATGTTTCAGACTGTCTTCCTTCAAATGAACAGGTACGTATCCTTTTCCATCATGTTTTTCTTGTTTAATTATCCTCATGGATCAACTTTGGAGTCAATTGTCATCCCCTAGAGAGTAAATAGTGTGAGAGGACATTGTCATTCATGTGTGGATACCAACACAACTTTTTAAGCTCTATCTTATGTCTCCAACGAAGAAAAATGATTCATACATTGGGAGAATGAAGCTTTTTATCCTCACGGACTAACAGTAAACAGTGATCTTCCATCTTAAACCAAGCAAAAATCTAATATAAGTTTCTTAAACGGGATTTGTTTTCTCTTGGTTTTTGCTGTGGTTTCACTGAACAAAACTTTGATTTCTAAGAACTCTGAACTTAAATGAACTACTGTAGAGACTGAAAATTAACCTCCTCAAAATTGGAAAAATACCCCAATCTATATTGTATTTATGTGAACGGAATTATTTGATGAAAAGTTTTATACAAGCGCATGGTGGTATCAACCAACAAACAAACGGTCAGGCTGTTATGTACCATGCATTCTCGCCTCATCATTGTTTCAACTATATGCAGGTGATGGAATTTAGAGTCTTGAACATACCCAGAATGACTCAGCACTTGAAAGGCCGTGTTGCCTTAACCCCTGGCTCACGTTTAACATGGATTGGATTCAGTGAGGAAGGTTGTTTCAGCTCATACGATTCCGAGGTTCGCTTCCTTGCATTCTGGCGTACTCATTGGCTATTGTGTTGGTACTTATTTTATACAATATGCATTACAACGGAAAAAAGTGTCTTGCAGGGTGTGTTGAGGGTTTGGACAAGTCAATATGGTGGCTCATGGATTCCCGTCTTCAGGTTTCCTATCTACAATTTCTGCCAAGTTTCATTTCTCATGTTTCCACTTCCTAGAGTGGTTTTTTACTTGGTTCATTGTCATTCTCAGTACCAGTAAAGAGAAGAAACAAGTTGAAAACTACTGGGTGGTTGGGTTGAACACAACCAGTTTATACTGTATAGCTTGTAAACACCCTGAGATTTTCCCACAGGTGATACATATGGATACCAAGGCATTTACTATATTTGCAAAAGGATAGGTTGCCTCACAATTCTTCTTCTTCCTTCCATATCAGGTGACACCAAAACCAATCCTTACCATTCTAGACTTCTCTCTCCCGCTTGCATCCTCAGATTTAGGAGCAGCATCTCTGGAAAATGAGTTCATTCTAAAGCAGTTGCGTTTATACGAGGTTTTTTCACTCTCCTTTGTTACGCAAGTTTATTTTGCTGTTATTTCTCCTTTCTCTGTTCAAGTTTCGTAAGCAGTGTAATCTGAGTTAGATACGGGAATGTATGTGAAATTGTCAAAGTTTGTTTTGGGTAACAACAATGATGAATGTACCCAAGAGAATTTGCGTTCTTGCAAAACCTTTGTTCACATACTTTCGTATGTGTAATTCTAGTTTATCTGTAATCAAATAGATACAATCTCATAACGAAATCTGCTGAAACTAGTATCAAATATCGACATATTAATCGTTTTAATTTTGTCTTTTTCTCCTAATCTCAGACTCAAAGCAGGGTGGATGATATGGCTTTGTCCGGGGTGGACACAACAACACTTGAAGATGAGGCTTTCGACATGGAAGTTTCTCAAGATAAATGCATACTAAGGCTCATCAGCTCGTGTTGCAGTAGTAAGTCAATTTTTATTTTGGAAATCATTGTTAAAAGTTATTGTCCAGATTTTTACTAAAAGATGCTTTACTTCTCTTTCAGGTGACAAGTTTGTAAGGGCCAGTGAACTTATGAAGCTTTTATATCTAGAAAAATCAATGAGAGCAGCAATAACACTGGTTACCAAACTCAAGCTCCCGTTTTTAGCAGAAAAATTCTGTAGCATACTCGAGGTCCTCTATCATTTTTCATATTTGTTGCACAAAAGAGTCGAAAGATCATATACAGATTCTCTTTTTGTCTTGATGATGCTAACTCTTGGTTCTTCACTAACAGGAAAGATTGCTTGAAGAAGCAAATCCTCCGCCGAATCCAAGTAGAGAAGCGGTTAAACCCAAGTTCCAGAATCCTCCAGCTCCGATCCAGACAAGTGAAAAGACAGAGGCAGTTGTGAAATCTTGTGCAACTAAGCTGTCTGGTACTACACTTGTGAGGAAAGCAGTAGCTTCCGAAGGTCCTAAACTGGGAAAAGAGCAAACAAAGAGAGACGAAACTGATGACGCGAAGAAAAAAGAGACGAAGAAATTTAGTTTCATAAAGAATCCGTTGAACAGTGAAGACAAGGGACCTGGAAAGGAAGCGAAGCAACAAGACGCACGACGTTCTTCAAATCCGTTCCTAAAATCAACTGTTTAATTCAAGAACGGTATGATGAGTTATAACACTAAGTTTTGATACATGATAATGTTATATAACAATGTTTCGGCTACTACGGAGTCCTAAGTAATAATCATACTTTTCAAATTTAACGGATACACAGATTTTGAATCTACAAAGATCAAAATCAAAGTGGTAGTAGTGACTAGTGACACATGAGTATTTTGGTTATATCTAATTATTTTTGTGATAGAAATCTGGACTCGAAAACCAGTAATTTACTGGTTCGGTCTGACTGAATTAATTTGGAAAATATATAACCCAAACCAAACCAATTAGAACAAACTGAAATGCTCTTTTCAAAATCGAAGCATTGAGTAAACCGGACGATGAAGGGAACGGAACATTTCAATTTTTGATCAGTAAACACATAAATCTCCGGTTCGATAAGCGGTGGAGTTGAAAAAGAAGAGAAGATTCAACTTGTATCGCGACGCCAGAGATGGGGATAGTGACTAAAGCTGGAGAATGGTCGTTCAAGGCCTTCACGGCGGGGCTAGGGCTCGCCACCATCTACCTCACCGCCACTTTCTCCGTTAACGTCTACCGTGGCCTCTCTTGGCACAACGCTCAATCTGTATGTTCCTTCTCTCTTCTCTTCGCCCTCCCAACCTCTACTAATCTTGTAGATTATATCCGTCGTTCCCGCTCATCATGATCTAATCATCTGTACAAGCAGCTTTCTTTGAAATTGATTTAGGATAGTGTTATATTGATTTGAGCATAGTTGCGAGTCCTGATTTTGATGACAATTAGACCTAACTAGTAAATGATTCATTATTAGTATGATGATTGAAAATGCTTTCTATCTGAATCACTTGCTCCAGTCATACTCTCATTCTATGCAATGAAGAGAATGTATCAAATACCGTGGATCAACTGTGATGAGGTCTTATCTTTGTAGCAGCAAGATCTTGTTTTTAGGAAAATTAGTGTTGGGTGTTAGATATGCGTACTAAGTCCATATATATATCTCACATAGATAGGAACGGAACTAGTCTGCCTTGTAATTGGATGTAAGAGATGTTACGCTCACATTGCAGATTTTAGATGTATTCCTGCTCGTGAATTCAACAAACCATAGAGAGACACTCTCACCCAAAAACTTAACTAAACCCTTATAAAATTCCACAGACCTCTCGAATTGACGAAAGCTTCTGAATACTCCTAGGTTTGATATGGTAGACCTATAGCTAAGAGTTAGTTCCCTCAATTTCTTCAAGGCTGAATTACTCCAGGCAATCAACTAAATCTTCTCATTTTTGTCCATTGTCTCTTGGGTAATCGTTAGCAATTGTGTGCATTAGGTTGCTAAGATTGTTGCCATGGCTCACATTATGCAGTTTCTCGTGTGAGGATTATAAGTAATGTGATTACCTATACTAGTATCAAAAAGAAAATGCAAAGGGTTAATTATTTTTTTTTCTCAAGATTCAGAACCTCTTTGGACCAACGCAATGTTCATGTACTTTAAAGATGGAAAATTTTATGATATTTTAATTGATAGATACGATGTTTTGTAACGATCCATGGTTTTGCTTTCACCTGTTTCACTTGATCTTTCGTTTTCATTGTATAGTCCACTTGCTTTATGAATTCAGTTGTTGGTATTCACCTCTGTTAATGTCTTGTCCAAAAATGAAGCCATATTATGACATATATGTATCTTGCTAAAATTTTCTGTTTCTTTTCCTTTGCAGAAGCTGGAGATGGAGCAATCTGAAGAACAACCCGAATGATCTGCATTCAGCTGCTATCTCTCTCTCACGCAGCGGATGCTTCCATGAATATTGGCGAATGTTTTCCATTTGCTTACACTTAAGTATATCTTTGTTTCGACTCTAGGAGCAATTAAATAAATGAAATTTTTTGTTTGATAAATTCACTAAACTTGTGTGATATGATTCTGAACGTTCCTTAATACGAAATGAGCCAACTTTTACAGTACTTCCATTATATTACGGACACGCTGTTAATAATACAGAATCTGTGAATCAAACAAAAGCAGCTTAAACTTGATGGTCTTCTCTGGTTTTAAGTTCCATTGAAATACTCACGACCGAATCAAACAGTAACTTGACTGAAGGTATGAGCACAAGACATAGGAGTCCGTATAGATCAATTGGGTTTCTCAAATCATAGTTGCATAATTCCATCTAACGCGATTTGGTTTTCTCGAAAGCAAACACAAGGTTTTGTCATACAACAAATGTACCAAATCATTTTCGTTTCTTTAACTTATTCAGACCGTTGAGCAATTCCCAACATGGGTAACAAGATGAATTTCAGAGACTCTGCTAGAAAAAGGAAGATGGATGATAAAAGCAAAAGAGACTTATGAGCTTTCCTCCTGCAGCTTAAGCTTCCTTTCTCATCACTGCTCTCGCATAGATCTCATAGCAGCATCCTGAAACAAGCATACATGATAAAGAATATGTCATCAAACCTTAAAACCCATATGAGCCACACACTACTAAATGCTAGCATAGTATCTACTAGTCAAATTTCCTTCCACTGTTAATATAAAAAATATGATCAGAGACAATGAGGTATAAAGCACAAGGGCATCTTGAGCAAACCAAGGATGTTTCAATCCGCAGCTATTCTTGATCGAACGAAGGTCAAGATCACCGGAAAAAAGCAGAGAGTCTCTAAAAAGTGTATCCAGTGACTACTAATATTCAGAGTTCATCCTAAAATGATATTTCTATCTGAACTTATAAAAACCATTTCTTGCCGTACCAGCAACAACGACAACAGTGAGCACATCTCCAATCTTTTTCAATCGGTGCACTCCTTTCTTATGCGACTTGAATCTCCTCAAAGCACCATCCTCAGCCAATAGCTGCCAACAATACAACCATCAATCTCAGAGGAACCTCAAAGAAACTATATAATATAACAAAACAAAAGGCCAATCTTTAGCCGCTAATTAAGGTTGCAATTACACAACCTTGAAATTACTATTTGACATTAAAGGATCCTCCCAAACTAAATTCAAAAACAATTATTTCTACTTTTCTGACCGAACCGATCCACGATCCCTACCCTAGAACAGAGATAAACTATAGGAGATACTCACAGCTTTCTCGCGAGCTCCTAGCTCGACATGGAAACCACGACGGGGTTGAGCAAAGGCACCGTCCGTCTTCTGCAAAAGATAGAAGGAGTCAAAACGATCCTGTCATAGATCACAAGAATCGAACCGACCCATATCCGTGATGAGATTCGATCCCGAGAAAAAACCTGGGAAGAAGATCGGAGGTGAGAAGAAATCGAGGTGTTGTTGAGCAAAAACGCCATCTCCGACGAGGAGCAATGTGATTTTATGAAGTGAGGCGATTGCAACGATTGATGAAATTGAAGACGAAAGCGCTGGAGTAAAGTCCCTAGTAATTATGTGGATTGAATTGTAATTTTAAGTGTACCGTTTTTTGCCCCAAATCTTAAGTCTTATTCCATTTTGACCCCATACTTATTTATAGATAATTGTCGACCTCTTCCGTGTTTAAGTGATAACAATGTTTTATGAATCTCTAATCTCTGTCGTCACTAATATTTTTCCAGTACTGTGCAATTCAAGAAAATTAACTAAGGGCCATACCAGACCTAGTCGCGTAGAACACTCTGTTCACGGCATTGTTCCCTCCGCCGCTCATTTCTTCTTCCCCCGTCTTGTCTTCTCTCACGGCGCCGCTGGCTAGTCTAGAAAGAGAGTCGACAAAGGCAAAAATTCCAACGGTGGCTTCTCGTTGACTGAAGTGGAAGAGGAGAGCTCGACGGACGTCGTTATGGTGAGGCGAAACGTCGGTTCTGTTCGTACATCCGGCTTGAATCAGATGATAGAACGTCGTGTTGAACACTCTGTTCACGGCGTTGTTTCATCGGCCGCTCATTTCTTCTCCCCGTACACGGCGGTGCCAGCTAGTCTAGAAAGAGAATCGACTTTTAAAAGAAAAACGTCGTCGTTTGGTTGAATTACTATTTTGCGGCTCAACAGAATATTTAGCACGAGGCCCATTAAAATTAAATTATCCCATTTAGTATTTGTTTACCCCCATATTAAAACCATGTAGTTATAAACTACGGATGATGAATTTAATGATTTCAAATACATATGTTAAATTAACAATGGTCTTCAACAACAACAACAACAAAAAATCTCAACAAATGACTGAATCTTAATCAAATGAAAATGTTTTATACATTGTTTAAATATTTAGTTTATATAAATATTAGACACCACGTCATATAAAAATTAAGAAAACCTACTTTACCTTAATTATAAAATGAATATCCTAATTATAAAATGATGAAAATGGTATGTTTTCTATTTGATTTAAATTTTGTTATAACTGAAAAAATGAAAATACATTTAAATAAAAAAATTCCAAAAATATATAGAAAATAGTTATTTTTTAATTGTCTATATAAAACTCTATTCCACTATGGATCTTCTCTTCAGCATACATTAGAAAAAAGATAACAAATAACCAAAAGCAAGAATATAGAGAAGGTGAACTGAATAGAGAATGAAAGTGGAATGAAAGAAATTCAAGTAAAGAAAGCAATGTTTTTACGAATTCTAATTTGAAAAAAGAAAAAGATCATAAAGAATTACTAGATAATATAGTATAATAAACAGTAATTAAATTAATGTTTACGAAGACAACAAGTATGCATGAACACGTTGCAACAAGTTTTATGAAAATCTTAAAGAATTTCCTTTTTAATTTATGATTTCATGGTTCAATAATACTCTTGGATACAATTATATATTTACAGTTTTTTTTAGTTTTCTTTTTTATAGATTAACGTGTTTACCTATTGATAATAAATGCAATGACGACTGTTTTTAGAACTTACAAAATGGTATGTCAGTTTAGTCTTTTACAAATTTGCACAACTTTTGTCATTTGCAAAACTAGCAAATAATATTTGAAGTTTTGGAAATGAATTGGGATTAGGCCCAGAATAGACGACGGAAGTATTAATGAGTTTTTATTATTAAGTTTTAGGTTCATTAAGCATTTTTGGAGTATTAAAAAGAGATATTTCCCATTGTAAACTTTTTATCGAAGTATTACAATCTTTTGAGGGTTTCACCCAAACTTTTTTTCTCTTTACTTTCTCTTCTCAATCCAGTCTTCCTCTGATCTCCCTCATTCATGTTAGTCTTATTTCCGAGATATCAGAGCCGTCAAATCCTCTCTACGGTGGGTTTACTGTCACCAAAGCACTAGACAATTTTTTTGCAAAAGCTTCAGCAACAAATCTCTCAACAGAATCAAGAATTTTTCGACAAGATCTTCATCAAACACGATCAACAAAGGAAAAGAGCTGGAGATTCAGCAAAAGGCAAGGATGGAAGAAGCAAAACATGTGGAAAAACCATTGAGGAATTTTATCGATCACTTGGTAGACGGTTCTTCATATGAAGCATCTTCTGAATCTGAGCGCTTCAAGGAACAAAATGTAAAAAATAGACTAATTGAACAACTGTTAATATTTTTTGATGTGGACATTAGTATCAGAAAAGCTCTATTAGGCGTTGGAGAGCATTCAGAAGCTAACTTGGAGATGAGCAAGCTTGTAAATAAGGAGCAAAGAAAGCTTGTAGCTGAAAGCAAAGGAGATAAAGCCTCAATATCAATACTACACCGTTCTATACACCAAAGAGGGCCTTATGACCAAGCCAAGCATGTACTGGTTCAGATTAATCTGGAAGATAACCAAGACAAACCATCAAAACCGCATATACACATAAATGGAGCAACAAGTGTATATTTGGAACCATCTATGGAAATATGTCAAGCAGTGACATATTATTCGACCAACCCCATGTCCCAAGAAGCTACTGAGAAGACTAAACCACCTTTGGTTCAATTCAAGTCACCACTTACCCAAGAAGAACCGTCAAATCCTTTCAAGATAGCATATGGACCAACATTTACATTTGCCAAACCATATATGTAAACAACGGTTGTATCTCATCAAGGCAACTTATACACGCCTTCCCTAAAGTCTACTGAAGCTACCCTACGTCCTAAACCACCAGAAGAAGTCAGCAACCGAGTTAAAACATCCCAAATTAAAGAAGAGACAACAAAGAGAAGACTTTCCTTTCATGGACATGATTACTTTACTCATATGGGAAAGTATGACCAAAGACCACCTTATCTTATTAATCTCGACCCTACATTCATTAGAAGAGATCCTATCCACTCAAACCATTTTGAAGACTCAAATCAAGCCCCCCCCCCCCTCTCCCCCATTCAGGCCCTCAAATCAAGTCATTTCACAAACAAGCATTTTGGCCATTTGCACCAAAACGACTAATCTTTGATTTACACCAAATTTTATGCTTTCTTTTATGTCTCTACTTTGAGCCTTATATAAGCTCATTAGTTTGTACTTTCATAGACCACAAAATTATTAAAGAAAATCCCTTTTATATGCTTCTAAAAAAAGTTTTATTTTTGAATCAATTGTTCTTGCAAATTTAAACACTTTGTGGAATCAGATAGCTATAATTTGTGGAGAGTCTTATTTTTCTTGTGAGGATTAGCCCTTAGAGAATCAGAGTCTCGTCCTATTGCTTGTGGAATCAAACAACAAAAGCTGGTTAACAAATCATCAACCATTCCTCCATCTATCTAAGCTTGAAGATCAGATTCAAGAGTGTATAACTTGGAGCAATCCAGTCTTTACATCATTCCTCCATCTATCTAAGCTTGAAGATCAGATTCAAGAGTGTATAACTTGGAGCAATCCAGTCTTACATCATTCCTTTATCGACAAAATTAAGACTCAAGTATAACCATATCAAACATCAGGAATCACCAAACTTCACAAACCATAAACCTTATCAATTCCCAAATCTTTCAGGACCTAACCTAAAAGAAACATGCAATTCGAAAAGCTTACATCTTCCCATTTCAGAAATGCAGCTTTAAGAGACGCGAAAACCCTCTGATAATTCACTGTGTTTGAGTAGGTATCATTTTCAGCTTTGAACCACTCAGTTTTAATATTTCTCGGGTTTACTTGGCTAAGAGGTGAACATAGTGTATTGAACCATCCAGATTTTGATGTAAACCAAGACAACACCTATAATACAACTTCATTTCTTGTAGAATTAAGTTCTCTATTGTGTTCATTTTAGCTTTGAATATGTCTGGTTATTCATGAGTGAACTTAGAAAATATAGTCTTACTTTCATTCTCCTAGAAACGGCCCCATTTCTCACTCACTAGGTGATCTACTAATAACTTATCTAAAAATCCTATTATACTTCACTCTTACAAAGTTATAGAATTATTAAAAGTCAATGCTTAGCTTTATCTTCTTTCGCTGCATCCAATGGCTCCGATTTCACCATACACTATCTATTGTGACCCTATACAGTAGAGATTGATCGAGTCTCTGACAACGGTAATTGGCGAATTCGAGGGAAAACCCATGAAATATTTTTACATATATATAAAAATGCTACATTTGGGAAAAAAAATCAAATTGACTATAGGTAGCTTTATAAATAATAAATTTTTTATATAATTTTTATTTTATTTTACGATATTAATAAAATAATTTTAGTTATGTTTTGCATTGTTTATATATGAATGTGTGAAGAAAGCTATTTTATTCTAAATTTTAGTCTGGAATAAAAATAATGTTATTTTATTCTAAATTTTATAGCTTTTAATATTATAATATTTTTTTAATTGTTGTTATTAATAAAATTAAAAAATTACATATATCTAGTTCTGGCATTTTTTTCTTCTGCTGGTAAATTTTTTTGTTATCAATCGATAAATGATTGTTCCTATCCTATGATTATGGTGATGTCATTTGAGTTTTTGATCCCAAAATTATTAGTATGGTCATTATACTAAAAAAAGAGTTTATTTACATTCAATTAAAAATAAAATTTATTTACAGAACTCGTTATCAAATTTTAGGATTGATTTCACATTGCATCATGTACCTAATCCGGCGACGAAAATAGGATTCTGAATGAGCTTTTCTTAATTTTATAAAGAACTTTTTAAAACGATATTAAATCCATCTCTAACAACCGTCCTCAATTTTAAGTTTTTAACATCCTCAAAGGCTCTAAGCCTCACACGTACGGTGCCCCTTTCTGGCTTCCCCCTCTTTAGTACCAGCACCAGGACCAGAACTAAAGCCGGATCTTCAGGACGCAGGAGGAAAAAAAGGAAGAAGAGGGAGTAAAATTAAAAACATCTCAGTAATATATATGGGTTAAAATGTAATTTAAAGTATTTCCCCAAGCATTGTTCCATTTTGACCCCAAACTTATTTTATAGATAATTGTCGACCTCGTCAGTGTTTTATGGAAAACAAATAATGTATCAGCCGGTTAATTATAACAATCATAACAATGTTATGAATCATTATCCCTTTTGTTTTACAGTACTACGTATGCAGGTTAAATGAAACAAATCAAGAAAGGAATTAGGGATCAAACCAGAACCAAAAAAATATAAGACTGAACCAAAATCAAAACCAAAATAAACGAGTTCTAATTTTGCCTTAGCTTTTGGTTTGCAGTTGCTGCAGAGCTTACCATGCGTATACAACAGACAGTTCAGATCAAACTTGAGCTCATCCCGGATCCTGCGGTTGAGATGAACGTAGGTTTTGTTCCTGTCTGCGGTTTTTGGGACCCAACCTAACGCCTTTGCGATCTCAAACACCTGTTTCAATCGGTTTTGTATCTCATTTTTTATCCGCTTGTAACAAAGAAAACATATACCAAACACCAGAACTGTGGAAACACTCACATGGGTATCTACTGGAGATTGAACATCAGAACACAAGAAACCTGTCAATCATCAATACCTCCTGTGTAAGTTTCCATA